TTTTGCTGCCACATACTCTAAAACAGCTACATCTGTAAGATAACAAAGACAAAGACATTTTTCTCACTGTTACAGCTTCTAAACCAAATATAAAGTTATGAATATCAATATATTTTTTTAGAGTCGGATGATAGTTCGTGACAAACTGATGTCACGTTATGGCCGAAAGAAGCCAATTGTTAGTCGTGGACGATACCTCTTCGAGCTGAATTTTGGGCAACCAGAACACCGGAAACATCCTCATTTCTTTACGTTAAACTGTAGCAGAGTAACTGTAGTTTCACTAGTTAAAAGGTAAAGCTGATTCCTGTATCACAAATTAGTTTTTCGGATATTCACAAAAACGCCAGCCCTGTTAAGCTGGAGTAGCCGATAAAATAGCATTGCCAGTGAGTATGATGAAATCAAATGCGGGGATATTTTGTTTCATAAGGTTTCTAACAACAAGGGTTGGCTGGAGTAAACTTTCACTCAACTTTAATCAAATGAACGCTTTTCATCAACAGTAGAGAACAATGCCGCTCATTTTAGGAGCTGTAAAACACGAAGCGTTATAAACTAAATTTCTACAATTGAATTCCAACCTCGAATCATTCATCTGACAAATACTAAACAGCGGAACACCGGAAACCAGGTACGAAATTCTGCCAGGGCATAGTGTACACATCAAACAGTCACCCATTAATGGGAATTCACATATCACAAAGGAACACAAAAGTCTTGGAGGTTTGAAGACAAATTTTAACTTTGAGGTAAAAGAAAAAGTACATTTATCCATCATCACATTCACTTCACTTGAAAATGAAATTGATTACCTCAAAAACACAAAGGTACCCAGAATATGAAAAAATAACTTCATAGCAATGCTGGACTTGAATTTAGTGAAGGATTGCAGAAATAAGGAATGGTGAGATTTTCTTGTTTAACCACACTTTGAAATCAAAAATGAGAACAACATGGTTTCCTCATCTCCGCAAGATGAGATGAATAAAAATCTAAAATGTACGCTCAAGGAACCAGTAATACGTTTTACTTACCACGGTAGCCATGTTCCTTTTGTTTGGTGTCAAATAAGGCCTGTAGTACTCTTTGGAGTACTACAAAAAGGAATCAACGCTTGCTTTGCTTCATCTTTGTTGCAAGGAAATCGCCATCTTTGTCGATGACGTGTGCACGAAAAGCTGTTTATCAACCCTAAAATTGCTATAAGTGATATGAAACGAGCATTTTGCTCTTCGCTTTGAATTGCTTTTCATGGTAACATTCTTTACATGACTTACTGAGGACCTATTAAAGAATGATTCTCCTTTGAAGGTTTGGTTGTTAAATTCAACAGTACCAAAAACCGCATGCTCAAGCAAAAGTGCAAAATCAAACAAAACTTTTTTACTTTTTCGTGCATGGACAGACAAAAGTCTCCCTTGCTCACAAACTCTGTAGTTATTCCCCAGAGCCTCATGCTGATGTCTATTGTTTTAGGCTGAATATTAATGAATCGAAATTGGTCTATTGACTCCCCCTGATTAAACTTGAAAACTACACTTATTCATGTAAATCACTTCTATTGGCAATTGAGGCACCAAATGGTAATATTGGTTCTTCAATGTTCGGGATATTGGTGCAAAGCATACAAAAAAATACTTCATTTCCATTTTGAAACTTAATGGTTTGCATCTTACCAAAGTTAGGTTCTAGTTTCACATCATGCACAGTGGCTTCACCATTCTTAAATTTTGGCCAAACTACTTTAACTAGTTTAGTCCCATCAGGGTTCTTCTTGACATCTCGGTGTAGATTGAGATTGAAATGCAAAGCTGAGATGATGTGCCTTTCAAGAGAAAAGTTACATTTTAAAATTGTATGTTATGCATTTGTTTTTGACACTCTGGAGAACATCGTGGAATGAAAAGTACCGTAATTGCAATAAATAAGAAATTATTGTTACATGTATTACTATGAATTGCAGGAGTATACTCACCTACAGTATACCACTGTACAACACTTCAACTATTCTGTGTTGTCTACAATACAGCTCACTGTACATAAAAACACCTTTGTTTTTTTTCAGACAAATTCGTTTGGCATATGTTAAAAATCATTGTTACAGACATGAAAGATGCAGAGGGAAGAAAATTTACACCAAACATGCAAAGTAGTGCTTGATGTTGTGCAGTTGTTCCCTCATGTATTTACCGATAGATGCATGTCTGTCTGTTATCAGAGTTCAAATCACCAGACCACATCCCAAGAGAGATGTCATGCAATTCTTGAATCCAAGGAACTCCATAGCTGGGCTACTACCTGCAACATTCCTCGACAAAAGATAAAATGAATCATCCATTTACAAGTCTGGAGTGAACAAGACATACTTGACAACATTAAATATACATGTATATAAATAGAACATGATAAGTTACGGGCTTAAAGTAAATGTTTACCTGAACAAGGGAGAAGTGAGTGATGAGTGGAGTAGTGCAACAAAATATGGTGTATGCACCATATTTAGCACTATGGCCCATGCTGTCATGACACCCGTCTCCGGCAATGACCACTTTCTGGCCTGCTTCCTTAAGCTGTCTTCTTATCTTTTCTTGAGAGGACTTCCAGAACAACTGGATTGTTGGAAACAGTTTCTCCTACAGGTATGGCAAAAATAATTTTTTTTTAATGATTACATTTAAATTATGATTACTTGGTACAAAAATGTATCCCCACTTACAGACCACAGCCTGGTGAAACATTTCTAAACAGTTACTTGTACTGCATTAATATATTCTCCACACACAACTCGTAAGTACAATGTAATTAGCACAAGTGACTGACATGTTCGTACAGTGTACACATACTATAGAAAGGTAATTCTTAAAAAATACATGACATATATAATATCATATGCCTCATGCTGCACCTGGATGATTGGAGAGGTCTAAGTTATATGTATTTCATGTCTAGTTAATTAAATACGTACTTAGGCTTACACACTGGTGTCTGAAGAATGTGTTCAGGGAAAAACAAGCCACACCCATGTGCTTGAACAGCTGCAACACTTTTGATGCTGAGCTGCCAGATAACAATATTGCCATGCACAGCAGGAAGTTTCCAGCAGGTATTTTGGTTCCTGGCATGTTTGGCTGACTCCTCCAAATAACATCCTTTTTGCTACACTTCTTGTTAGTACAGGTTGAGGTTACGACTGCCATTGTCCCAACTTGCCTTGTCTCTACAAGTGGGTTTTCAGCTTCGCAAAAATGGCAAAATTTGAAGAGCAGTAGTAGTTGTGAAAGAAAAACGATAAACTTTGGCTGTGTCCTTAGGTTATCATCTTTGATATACACTCTGTAAAGAGACCAAATAGTAACAAAACAAATCATACAGTTTTTATCATTTAAATGCACTGAGAAATTCTTCCAAACTCCCCTTGTGTTTGCATCAGGTTGTGTAAGCATGAATGCCATTTTCTGCTTCTTTGATTGAAATATAGACATGAATGTTGCAGATATGTCCAGAAATGCACACGTAACTGAGATGCACGCTCCTTATGATAAGCATCACATGTCCTTATTGGTAGAAAGTCATCAAAACAAGTTCTGTGAAATATGAAGTTATTTAAAAATGCCAGAAAACCCAGCCAAATATAAAGTGCTAGTTAAGCAGTACTTGCATTCATTTCTGGACACAAGTGGAATGTTGATCCATGTAGTCTGTTTACTGTGTGTATAATAAAAATAATAATAATAATAATAAAAGCTTTATTTAAAACTGAAAGACCGATCAGCGAAGTCTGGGAGGAAGACGCTGTATGCAGAATCTTATAAAATATACATGTACACATCTTGGTCAGCAATAATAATATTGCTTGTAATTGTAAGAAGTTTTTAAAGTTGTAACTTTGTTGAAAGGAATTAGAAGTACATGCACACAAATGTTCAGTACAAGGTAACTGATAAATTATGTACCTATTTCCCGGAGAATTCTCTTCACTCTCTGAACCGGTATCTGTGTTTGTTTCTGGTTCATATTCAGATGAAAAGTCAGCTTCTTCTTCTGTTGTCTCGCCCTGACTATCCTCGTCTTCATTCGTTTTTACAGTATTTATGTCTCCTTCCATCTCAGTTGCAACTGCTCCTTCATCAATCTTAGTTGTAACTGCTCCTTTAAAGGTGTAACAAGAAGTTTGAGGAATACCCTTACTATGACTGTAATAAAACTGACACTATCTGCTTACATAAGTTAACTCTCATGTATTGGTCATTTGATCCACTATTTTCTGCATTTTGCCAACCTCCATGAAGTGATGTAGTTATTAACCTGTTAGTAGTAACCCGGCAGTATGCTTTTTTGACAATACAAAGATAAAATACTGTTTTGAATGACAAACTGTATGATTTATGATCATATTATTATTGTATAAAAAAAATACCTGATATGTTTTTCTCCAACTGTGTTTTTAGAGCCTTAATTTCCTTTGCACTCTTCTTATGTTTTGTTTGTGCAGTGATTAGCTGATTACTCAGCTGTCTGTTTCTCTAACTCAACCTCACACAGTTAGTACACTCCAGGATGGCAACTTTATCTGCTGATTGGGTTGTTGGAACTACATATATCATTGAAAAGAAATAGATAGATATATATAAAGAACTTTGGAATTGAAAATTATTGAGTTATTTTTTCAAGTCTGTGTACTTGCGTATACATGTTAACACTATTCTTGGTTTTCACCCACATGACCTCCGCCTTAACGACGGTTGCTATCCGCCATGTTGGTGCCCAAGCAAACGCGCTCAATAGAGAGATCACAGTGAGAAAGT